TTACTTGTCGCAATGCCAAATGTGGACTTTTTCTTATTAATAAGAAAATATAATATAAACGTTTGTTGTTTTAATTAAGTTTAATTAAAACTTAATATTATCAATGGGGTTGAGTACAACCGAAAGGTTAATCGCGCAATATAACGAACTAAGATTCAATTTTTTATTAGGAAAAGATACCAATATTTAGTGTCAACTAGTAATTCGAACACAATTATCTTTGAAAAAATATACAAGTAAAAAAAATTATACTTTAACATATTCCTTTTAGTTGCCTTCACGCTCACCAAATTTCTGGTTTTAAAGTTTAGCGGTATATGAAATTGTTTATCAAGCATGAATTTTATATATATATATATAAGATCGGCAGTGGCGATGGGTAAAGTAGGCAATTATTATGGTGGGTGTTAAGAACATGATTAATCACCGTCGAACAAGACAAGATTGTGTGGTCACAGGCTAACATATGCCACCAATTTCAGTGTGCCCAATACTGCTAAAATTAATATATATACATATATATACATATATATATATATATATTACTAAATAATGTCTTGAGGATATGTTTGTTGTTCACCATTATTATTTTTGTTATTATTATTATTTTCGTTATTATTATTATATATAGTTGTTTACTACCACTTCATTGTCAACAATGTCATCGTAAACACTCCATCATCATCCCTCCTCCACTATTGTAACTATCTCTTCCACCTTTCTCATCATTGTAAATTTATCATCACCTTGTTTTCGTTGTCATTACTATCGTAACTATCACTACCACCCTTATCATTGTTATCTTCATAGTCCTTATTACCACTTTATCACTTTCATTGTCATTACTACCATAACCATTATTCTTGCTAAGAAATGGGAATGATGGATCTTCAATATGGACTTTCATAGTTTCTTGTTACTCGACTACTATGTGGTCAACTTGACGGTTACCAGCCGATGAAGAAAAAGGTTTTATACCTGCAAAAAGGACTTTGATGTCGAAGTTAACAAGTATTCGAAGCTATATCATAAGAAATGTGTATCTATCTCCCTTCAAGGGATTTATGCAAACATATTTATAGGTAAAGAAAATTTACTCTTGATGTTTTGCATATTTAAGTATTAAGAGCTTTAATGACTTGGTAATGGTTGAACCTTACCTAGGTCAAGTTATAATTGCTTGCATGGACATTTAGGTCGGATACCAAATACATGTGATGTTCATTTATGGTATTTGGAATCGACAACATATCAATAACGATATACCTCTAATATAATTATCACCACTGCTACCACTACCACCTATTATTATTGGTAACAAATTAACAAATAACTTTTAATAAAAATTGCATTAAAAATATTTTCATAAGTTCAACCAAAAGAATCATTTTTAATTATTCTTTATTCAATATTTTTAAAACACTAATTAGTACTTATCACAACTTATTAAAACAAAATTAGATGAAATTGATATATGGGACTATAAAATTATGTATAATGATTTAGTGTACGCAAATTGATATATGTGACTATATATTTTTAAAGTTGAGACATTCATTTTCTTTTATTTATTTATTTTGGGGTGCGGGGTTTATTAACACCAACCCCACAAAGTCTCCTCGTTCAACCCAACGACCAAAAGCATTCACTTCCACCCTTTTCAGCAGACATTAGCATGAAATTGAAATGCATTGCTTTTTTCTTATATTATGAATATAATCTACATACACGGTATTATCTGTCAATTCCAAAAGTGGTTGCTTAGTGGCGAAGAAAACGAGTTACGTACACAGTAGTATATATGCACTTAATTTCAAACCTACCAAGTCCAAAAATATATCACTTTCTTTACATGTTGAATCCAAAAACACGCACAGCATAAACATTGCAACGTGCTTTCTTTTTCTGTATCTCTCTTTTCCAACTTTTAGACCCTGAATATTCTAGTGCAAGATTTTGAGTTGAAGTAGAATACGATTTAATTGAAGAGATGCCATATTTTGAAAAATTAAAGCAGCTGATATTTTGGTTTAACAGAACTAAAATATATGAAATAAGAATAATTTATTCAATTTTATCTTTTATGTATATGTGTATCTTAAATTAATTAAAAACCAACTCATAAATTTATAATAAAAAAAAACTTTTTTTTTTTTCATTATTGATAGAACATTTTTTTCTTATATCAATAACTCCACATGATTGATGTATGTTATTTTATTTTTAACGTATAACTTAACCAATAAAATAAAACTACATTGAGGTTTGACATTTTTTGTACGAAAATTTTCTTACATGCACATATCCCACTAGTCCCGCATAAGCAGAAAGATTATTCTTTTTGTTTAACGTTAAAGAAAAAGGTAAAAGAGAAAAATGTAGCATGGTTGGTGTCATGTAATCACTCTTTTGCCTGAACCAAAGTTGAAGAAAAGTTAAAGCCAAAAGCAGGTCAATGACAGCTACCATCTCAGTTCCACACTCTCTAAACAATTATTTATAAAGCGTAACACGATCATGACCACAAATAATTTACTTTGAAGCATTTACTTATTGCCTAAACAACTCAAATGCTTCAATCTCACAAACTAGTTCAAGAAACCCATGGTCCACTTTCTAAAGGCCCTCTTTTAGTCATTAATTTATTCCAAGGTAAACAAATAAAAATAAGAAACAAGGATTTGAAAAAGCAGGTCTGACCAATTAGTTGGATTAAAGAATAATTGAGTTATTTGCTTCATTAAATTTCATATGATGAGAAGTTTTAACTCAAAGAATCATACTTTAATAATATTGTTGTTGATATATTTGTTTTAATTTTCTAACATGGACAAAATGATTAAAAGAAAGATGATTTACTAGTTCTTCATTTTCAAAATTTGTTTAAATGTTAATATTTTGTTAATTTAATTTTTATTCTTCTTATTCAATGATCCAACCGACTTAATCCATTCTTAATCAAACTGATTTGATAAAATAAAATTATTCAATACAACCCAACTAAACCTAAACTATTTTGATAGGGTTGAATATGGGAGTTGATGAATATCCCACTCCAAATCAACCCTAAACAGCTTCAAAATATTATCCAGTAAATTTTAGTTGGTTGTCATGAACTCCAGGTTCCACACAGGCTACCTATGGACATCCTAGCACCTACCAAAGGCTAACGCGATGTATGACAATAGAATAAGAGTAAAGAGTCTATGGAATGATAAGGAAACAAAATTTCGACCGTCCTTTAATAAGATTTTATTTTAAAGGCTAATTATATTAATTATTATAATAATTAATTTAAAAATCATATTTGTCATAACATGATTTATTAATAGTATAAAATATTTTAGATTATATATTTATAATTTTTTTATATTCACCTCATATTTTATTTTGTATTTTTCATTTAATTATATTATTTATCATACGCATCACTTTTTAAATTTTTTTCCTTTCACAGACTATATTGTGAAACACTTTTTTTTATTTTTAAAAAAGAACATTATCTGCTTAGAAATCAAGCAGTGTTTGCAATGGACGAAGTTAAAAGTCTACCCTGGGCCATTCAATCCTTCTTTCAAAAAAAAAAAAAAAACTCTTATTGTGCAAATGAAGATTGAATAAAGTAATGCATTTGCTCACAATGCAAAGTACGATATAAAATTATTTCTTGTGACTTGTGACTTGTGAGGTTTTTGTCGTTGACGAAAATATGTTATCGGATGCGTTTTATATACAATGATAAACAGTGTGTTTTTGATATCCGAGAATCAATTATATCTTCTAAAATCATGGTGATACTTTGAAAAGGTGGACTTAAAATTTTGTTACTTTGCCTTTATCCTAAAATCTTACCATGTAGATAATCCAAACACACAAAATCCCATGTCTAGAGCCAACTTGAGTTTTTTTAAACCATGATATTTTCAGTTAAAAATTAAAGATTAATCACTCAAAGTATTAATATTCATAATTTAAAAGATTAACCTTTCATAATAAATATTTTTCTATATATACCGACCAGAATCAAACTCTAATCATATAAGAGATAATGTCATTTTACAATCACATCACACTTTCTTTGTACTTAATTGAGCTTACTTGTGTTAACATTACAAGTGCAAAACATGAAATTGAATATTAAATTAGGGATTAAGGAAATCTAAAAAAAATTATTTACAAGATTAAGGAAAGGTTTAAAAGAATTTCTTAAAACTTATTTTGACTTATGAAAATAAATTATGACATTATAATTTTTTAACATTTAAACAATTTTTATTTATTAAAATGAGCTTCTTTTAATTTATTTAATAAATTTTATAATTAAATTTATAACATAAATAATATATAATGAGCTTATTAAACAAACTGTTTACTCAAATGCATCTTAAATGACAAAGTGCAGCTCTTACAAGTCTTAGATTTATCCCGTTTGAAGATCCGATGTCACTCTTAAAAGCAAATTAGATATTATTTGATGTGCCTTAGTGCCATACACAGTTATAAGAATAAATGAACAATTACCTTCGTTAATCATGACAGCCGAAAGCGGAAGCTTAAAAAGTTTTCAAGCTCGAGGTCGTGACCATGACGGATGACAAGAAAAGACACACAAAAAAAAAAAAAAAAAAAAAAAAAAAAAAAAAAAAAAAAAAACTCAGATCAGTGTGCATTGGATAATGGTTTTTTCTTTATCATAGATAATATATACATACACATGCAATTCCAATTCAGGATGATTTGAAAAAGGTCATAACGGGAGCTATCCCTCCTCCCGTCCCTCCTAAGTTAAAAATGTGGGATTTCATTTCATCAGAATCTGTTATTATGAAGAAACTAGTATAAAAAAAAATGCATTATTAATGTTAAAAAGAAATTTGTTTTAAGTTTGTCAAATAGCTTCAGAAAAACGTTTGTCAGAAATGTATATAGGACCAAAAAAAGAGAGTATTTTTCGTGGTGTCTCCTATGCAGAATCAGGAAATCAAATACACATGTTAAAATATTGGAGCCAATAGAAAACTATTCAGATACCTTGAGAATATGTATACCAAAATTTTGGCGACTTGAAAGCCAGCCCAATTGGGAAATGGGAATAATGAGTGCAAGTGTAACAAATACGTGCCAAAATGTTGATTTCAAACCGATCAAAACGTGGCATGGGAAAGTGATGAATGTAATTTCTATATTTTCTAATCTAAACTGCACTCGTTAGAAGCTCTGTTCTGGTACTATCGGTTCTAGAATCAACATTATTAGCTTTACCATCAGATTTGGATGTTATAACTCCTGCGGTAGTCAATGGGGCATTACTTAAAGATATTAATTTATCGGTTTTTTTTCTACTTGAAGATGATTCAGTGCCCAACAGAATTCGTTTCAGTTGTGACTGCTGACAAACAAGGCGACCTTTGTTCCATCTAGGGAAAGTGAAGGATGATGGGACGTTGTCCTGCAAGAATAAAATCGCAGCCTTTGCGATTGGGAAATCTTGGGCATCTGTGTTTTTCTCCATGTCACCCCGCCTGGTTAAATGACAACATATCAACGTGTTAGATGAAAGAACTAACAAGTGATCAGATGCGAGTCATTTTTAAACCTTTTTTATAACTCCAATGATTTTACACTTAAAGAAAAAAAATAAGATGGAGTTCTTAGAGGCAAAAGCAACTTACACCACGACAACTGTTGCAAGCTCAGGAAGATCATCGCCGGTCAAGCACATTTCCTGCATATTGTTCAGCCAAACTGATAATGCTGTTAATGCACCACCTTCCGACATCCTGCAAGAAAATAAAGCCTTAGATTTCACACAATTCATTAAAGATAAAAATGCATATAGTCTCAACTTTCAATTTCAATGATTATCTCTTGAAAATTGAATAAGGCTTCAATAGTCAAATTTATCTATCTTGTTAGTCATGTCATCTGCACTATCATTCTCACGCTTAAATTTCTTCAACTACCAATTCGTCCATTGGTGCTTTGGAGAAAATTATATTCAAGTACCAAAATCTCCAAATGTTAACCATTCAACATTAAATATAAATTAGCTATGGAAATTAAAAAGGCTAATAGCATAGCCGCCTGAGGGGGTTTTGTATATATTTTCCTTTATTAAATAATAAAAGTTTAAAAAGAATTGATTGCCACTGTACCTGTGTACATCCACAGACCACAAGAGTTTACTTTTACGAAAAAGTTCAGGGAACAGCCCTCGTTTTGATGCTTCATTAAGCACTCTAGCAGCCCTCTCTCTCTGGAACATCCACCAAAGAGCTTCTAACAGTGCATTGTAGAATCTCATTCCCAATCCACATCCTTCAGAATTGAGTTTGTCAAATACGTACTCCACAATCTGCCAATTAGACTCATCATCAAAATCTCCCTTGATCATTTGTCCAATTACTTGATGAATATCCGACACCCTCATCGTGGTCATCTCGTCGATTAAATTATAGGCATCGTTTAACCTGAAACCAACACAAGTTAGGGAGGTAAGCTCAATAAAGCATTAGAAGTAAAATGCAATTAATAGATGATACGGATCAAATCAAAGATTCACGGAGTTTGGCGTTTACTTGACACAAGAATGAGATAGCAAATTGCAAGGAGAAATAAAGAAAAAGATTTTCCCCCATTTTAAATAAAGTGAGAAAGAGTACTACCTAATCAACATACAATTGTGCCAGAAGTTGTTGAAAATTCCATCACATCATTTTTGTTTAGTTAGACATTGAATTATGACTGGCATCCATAACTAATTTATTTACTTATTTTGGTTTAAAAGGAGGTCTATGACCTCCTACGGGGAGGGAGACGATAGGCTAATGTGAAGATAGAGGGCTTGGCTAGGAACTTAGTGCCCGTTCCACTGAGTTAAGGCTCTAAGGCAATTTTATATTTTAAATTGTCAAAATAAATCCTTGCACACTCACTCGCATTACTAGGACAGCATTAATCATTATTCATTAAGGGCATGCTTGTAATTGTTTCTACTGAGGTTATCTTATCATATAAGCACTTTATAAGTTTTTGGTTAAGCTTATAAAAATGACTTCCAACATTCCTATAAGCTTTTAAAGCTTATTTGGATAAGCCTCACCATGAAGCTTATCAAAAATTCAAAATAAGTTTATTAATTAAGTGCTTAATTGAGTTTTTTTTATCCAAATGTCTCCCGAGATGAGTTCAGTGAATACATGCACACTAGAAAATGAGGTCATAACATTTATTAATTTAAAGCTTGAATGCAAAACCATATTTTTGCATGAAGTACCTCAGTACCATCATTTTCAGGGGACCAGCTGCCACAATTTAATTTCAAAATTGCCTATCGGTAAATTACACCATCTATTACTGAGCAAAGTAAAATTCAGTATACAATTCACACCACACTAATAGAACAATTCAAGAAAAGCCCCACACGAAAAGGTGAAAAATGTGAAGATGTTGAATACTAACGTACAAATCACTGCAGAAACATTCGGACTTTGCTATACATAACAAAGCAAAAAGTTAATTGTAGAGGTAGAATGTATGGGTGATGTGGAGGAGAAAGAAGTTACTAAGAAGAAGTTAATTGTATAGGTAACCCCCGTAGTCAGTGTAATAATTAGTTAGTAAATAAGGCATGTTGCCTATAAATAAGGGGTTGAGAGGGAAATTTTATTGTGATTGGAGAAGAAATTCAGATTGGTGAGAAAGAGTCCAGACTTCTCAAAAGTCCTGAAAATCACTTAAAAAATGCACATATATAAAGTGACATCCTTATTAGCCCAGGAATACTTTTCCTTCTATGTGCAACCTAGAAAAATGTAGTGTCTATTTACATAGTACTATTAGATATTATAACTTTCAATAATATCAATATTGATAATTGGATCACAAAATTTGGCAAGTGAAATACTCTTTTCTTTTAATAGAAACCTTTCTTTTAATGATTTTGATCTAGTTATATCAACCAGTTTCAAAGCACCCTCAATCCAGAGGGAGCACACCGTATGGTAAAGAACAGAAGCAAGATTGGCATCATTGGAAGCAAGAACAAAGATTCCCCTGTTCTCAGGTGAGGACACCTATACCTATGGGTGGGCCACCAAAACAAAAAAGATATTTTCAGATTGAAGGAGTACACCAAGAAGAAAGAATACAACTGGTGGAAGCGACTATAGAGGGTTACACATTGAATTGGTTTTAATGGTGAAAATGCAACTCCCCTAAGGCCACATGGGCAGCATTCGAGATTGTTTAAATTAGGTTTTCAACCATCCATGATACAGAACCCTGGTGAAATCTTGTTGGATTTGAAGCAAGAGGCTTCATTCAAGAATACAAGGAACAATTCAAGATATATATTTGACTGCTACTTATGTTAGAGCAATAAATCTAAAAGGGCATTTCATGAAAGGGCTTGAGGAAGAGGTGAGGACAAGACTGAAGCTTCCCTCTAATGGGTCATTACCAGTGATGATGGACTTAGTGCAACTCATAGATGAAGGATCTATGATGCAAGAAGACAGAAGGGAAGATAAATCTTGAAGGAATTGTGAAGTATTAAACTAGAGAAACAAATGGAAGATGCCAATGGGCCAATTAGTGGAGATAAAAATGGAAGGGAAAATAACCCTAGTGAGTGGCTCCATAAACAAGCAGAATTGGGAAGAACAAGTGACAGCAGTGGAAATTAGGGGTTTAATAATCAACCTTCAAGTTCTGCTGTGGAGAGAGATAGGTCATCAACAATGGATAAATTCTGGAACTCATTCATCTTGGTTAAGCTTCCCCTTCCAGAGCCACAATACCTTGGTGCTCTTGGATGGTGGCTGATGCTTTATTGGAGTTAGAGATGAGAATGAAGATTGGTAATACACCTCAATTCCAGAACTGCAACGAGCATAGGGAAAAGGCAAGAGTTTGAGATGAGGAGGAACTATTGGGCCCAACCCAAAGGTAGATCAGGCTAGCGGTGAAAGGAAAGGGAACCCAAGATCCACAACTTCAAATTAGAAACATTGTGGATGAGAGGAAAGGGAAAGGACTTGAATTACAAAAGGCTGGTCAATTTTTTGACCAAATGGACCAGTCCAGGACTGATAAAGCAAATTGGTAAAGGCTAAAATATTGTTCTTATCTAACAATTCTAACTCAGCAGAAGGAAGGAGAGGGAGGACGATGCTAATAATCAGCTGCTTCGACTTGCAATTGTACGATTTGCAATGGGGCAATGAGATCTTAGCACAGTTGCAGAGGCATTAACACTCATGTTTAGGATTTAAGGTTTAGGGTTAACGCTAGGTCAACTTACCAATCCACCATTTTTAATCCACCAATTCGCTAAAGTGGACCAACTTGCCAAGCAAATCCACCATTAAGTGGAGTTGGGTTACATTTTCAACCCATTTTCTTTGGAGGATCAACCCACCCGCTCCATTTCTTTGGTGAGTTAAACTACCCCACTCTACTTTAAGTAGGTTGACCCACTTTGCCACTCTTACAAACGGACATGAAGGAAATAGGTGCCCTTACATTTTTCTCCTCATTACTCCCCCTGTCGGATAATTATCCGTCTTGTATTCATCCCCATATCCGTGTGGGTATCCGTTAAATGGGTACCCACATAATTTTTCAAATATTTGCGGATATAGGTATCTGCAAGTATTTAGTAAAAAAAATATCTTAAAAATATTCAACAAAATATTTTAACCATACATTTTAGTTATTTGAAATAGCTTTGTTTTCTTTTAAAAGTTATAAAAATCTGCGCAAAAAACAGTTTGAAGATTATAACTAAAATTTAAATAAAATTTGCATAAAAAAAGTTTAAAGATTATAAAATTAAAATTTAAATATTCTTCATAATTATACTAATAAAAATAGGTGGATTTAAAACTAAATTTTAAACGTTCAATCATATAAGTTAAAAGTTCAAACAATAATTGTTAAAATAAAATATTTTGATTACACATAAATTAATAAAGTACAATACTTAACTATTATAAGTCCAAAGAAATTTCAAATAAAATCAAATTCATACAAGTTTAAGAAAAATTAAATTCATACAAGTCCAAATAAATTGAATATTAACACATAAGGATATTATGATACCAGTACCCTCTCCTTTAACATGCGGATATAAAAAATATCTGTACCCGTTACCCACAGATACCTATTTACAATATTTATTTTCTACCCGCCACGGATTTTATCCACGGATACCCGCAGGTATAGATATTTTTAACATCCCTTTTGAACCAAAACTATTTCCAGTATTTTGGGGTCACAATGATAGAATAAGAACACTTACGTATTTGTGTTTGACCTAGGAGGAATTAAAGCTAATTTGAGACTACAATGGTAGGGTTGGCTTGGTCACAATGCTTTCAATGGTTGGGACCCTGATGGCACATGGCTTTCAGCTGCCAAAGTCTATTCACCTTGAGAACAAGGTGAAACTTTAGGGTGGAGCAGTCATAGATAATCCCCGTAGTTTGAAGAATTGTAGTTAGTTAGTTGGGGACTGGGATAATTAGAGAAATAAGAAATGTTACCTATAATTAAGTGAAGGGGTTGAGAGGGAGATTTTATCTCGTGATTTGAGAGAAAATTCAGATTATTGTGGGAGAGAGTCCAGGCATCTCGCAAGTCCTGGGGGGAATCATTTGTACTCTTTTCAGTGATTAGAAAATTTTCTTCCTATAATGCTGATCCAGTTTCTATCAGAAGAGGAGCAAATTGTAGCTAAATCAAAATTTAAAAAGATTGTGGGAACAATAAAGAACAATATTAGAAAATATATGCAACTTCAAGACCAAAATTCATAATTTAGCAAAAGTTAAAACTATCCAAACATGTGATTTCGTGTTGGTTGCATGGTCACATGGGCTTAAGGCCTTATGCATTATTCCATTGTTCAAAAAAAGCAAAAAAGTAGTCATGCTTCAATGCTGATAAATGATAATGAACCCAAAAAATCCTTGCACTGATAATTTATTTCATTTTAGCTCAATTTCACAAACAAATAACGCAATGTACCAGAATTGGTGTCATCATTACTAGGCTGTAAGTTTATCCAATATTGAATTCAATTATTTTCAAAATCCTATCAGTTTAATATGCTTGAGATCATTGATTGGTATTTGTAATCACCCAATTATTATAACTTCGAACTTAGATCAGAAAGTAGCACAGCAATAATTTTAAAATAATTAAAAAGAACGCTGCAGTATAATAAAAGAATGCCGACCTGTCATTCTTTGCATAAAGAGCGAGCATCATGCAGTAGCACATGACACTGGGCAGTATTCCTGAAGCTTTTATTTCTTGGAACTGCTCCTCACTCTCGTCAACAAGACCTGCGGAGCAGTATACACTTAACACCTCTTCTAGTGTCAGCTCATTAGGTTCACAATTTTCTTTCTCCATTTCAACATAAGCTTTTACAGCCTCTTCATACTGACCTCCTTGCCTAAAAGCTTCAATCACACCATTGAACGAATGCACATCCCGTTTTAAACCAGCCTCATTCATCCTGAATAAAATTGCTTCCACTTCTTTGTACAATCCCCCCCTTGCAAATGCATGAACGAACGAATTATAGGTCTCAACAGTTGGGCTGCTTCCGACTTCACTCATAGTGTTAAACGCAACAAGAGCCTCTTCATACAGTGAAGCCTGCCCATACGCTTCAATCACCCCAGTATAAGCCTCGGAACTAGGCACTATCCCATTCTCATTCATATGCAGTAAAATTTTCTTGGCATCTTGATAGAGCCCTGCCTTCCCACAAGCAAATATCAAGCCCTCATAAGTCTCCATATTCGGCTCAATATTTTCCTCCACCATGTCATGAAACAAAGTAACCACCTCCTTAAAATACCCTCCCTCCCCAAACACCTGTATGAGAATATTATAAGTACCAGCATCAGGATCCGCATTGCTCACTTTCATCTCAAGAAAAAGATCGCGAACATCGTCATACCTCCCATGCTTCCCATACAAATTCAACAAAACACTATAGGTGGCCGCATTGGGCACACAGCCGGCAGCCTGCATTTGCCGAAACACGCCCATGGCCTCTCTGATGGACCCCAACCCAGCATAAGCCTCTAACAACACATTATAAGAAGTAACATCCGGCAAATTACCCCCGGACTCCATCTCCCTAAGAAGCTCGGAAACCTTCTCAAGCCTATTCAACTTCCCAAATGTCTGAACAAGATAACTATAAGTATTGATATCAGGAACTATCCCACTCTCATTCATGGTCCTAAACACCATCTCAGCCTCATCACCTAATCCCCTATGAGCACACGCACCAAGCAAGGTGTTATAAGTGATAACATCAGGCTGAATCCCTTCATGCCTCATTTCAGCAAACAACCCCAACAACCCCTCCCAATCCAACCCGCCCCTGGCACAAGCATTAATCACAGTGTTGTAAGTCAAAACACTCGGAGCAACCCTCTCCTGCTTCATTCCACTGAGGAGTTCAAGCGAAGTTTGGAAGTGACCGTTGCGGCCGTAGGCGTTGATGATGGCGGTGTAGGCGTAGACGCTGCGAACCACGCCGTTTGCCGGCATTTCGTCGAACACCTCGCGGCACTTGTCGAGAAGGCCCTCTCGGCCCAAGAGAGTTATCATGATGGTGTATATGTGCTCGTTGGGCTTGCACCATAGCTGCCGCTGCATGTACTTGAAGAGGCGCAGCGAGCGCTGCCAATCGCCGCGCTGCGCGAACTCCTTGAAGACCAAAGCGAAGTCGTTTAGGGATAGCTTGTTCTTGAAGGGGTCGAGGCACCGCGCGATGCTGCCACGTGGCGGGAGCGCGGTGAGGCGGTTGATTAGGGTTTCAACATCGTAGCTGTACTTTCCTTTCTCCACCGTCACCGAGGGGTTCACCGGGATGATGTCCTTGGACTTCGCCGCGCGCGCTCGGAGTTGGAGGTGGAGCCGCCGCCTCGGGAAGAGGAGCTGGCGGAGGGTGGTGGTGGTTGCGTTGAGGAGCGCGGGGGGGAATGGCGAAGGGTTGGGCACGGAGAGAGAGGGTGCAGGTGAAAGTAAAAGTGAAAGGGTCATTTTGTGCGACGCGGTCGTTTTGAGGAGTTAGTTGGGGAAACGGTTACGCAGTGGCATGTTGTTGTTGGTGTGGAATGAATGGGAAATGGAGGAGGTGGTGGTGGAAGAAGAGAGTGAGTTGGTAACGGAAGTGAGAAAAGGCCACGTGGTGTTCTTTGTGGATAACGGTCAGAGGTGGTAAAAATGGGGAAGTAATCGGGTTATTTGACCCGAAAACCCGATTATATTCAGCAGTGGAGCCCCGGGTGGAACGGGTTACGAGTTGAAGTGTGGTCCGTTTTGAACTGGGTCTGGAGCGTTTGGCGGTAACGGATTTTCAAACGACATTCAAGCGGGAGAAATGTATCGAAGCTTTCTGCGTTTTTCATACGCTGTGCACCCTTGCAACATTGCGGAAATGGATATCTAAAGGAGATTGAAGTCCAACTAAGAAAGAGAGAAAAAAATTTTGAAACACATAAGATGATAGAAGCACAACTTTAATATCATGATGGATAATGCAAAATAATTAAAGAAAAACATAGATTGAGATTTTAAAAAAAACATGCAGAATAATCAAATTAATCGTTAGATCAAACTAATTCGGGAATGAAATTAATTGTTAGGTCAAATTAATTGTTAGATAAAAGTAATCATTATATGCTAATCAACTCTTGTATTAACATATACGATTATTATGTATAAGTATTTTTAGTTTTTTTAAAATAATATTTTTTTTAAAAAAATAAATTACTTATTTATTTAGTTTTTTTTTATCAATTTCTATACATTAAATATGAATCTCTTGAACAAAAGTGTATTTAAAGACTTTCATTTAATAAAAAGGTTTTTGTAATTTTTTTTATCTAATTTAGTTTTTTTATTATGATTATTTGTGAATTAAATTTTAATATTTTTAAAATAAATTAACAATAAATAAAAATAATATTATTTTATAATATAAATTTTAATGTCTCGACCTTTCTCACATACAGATTCCACATAAAAATTATAAGAGATAACTTAAAAAAATTATTTATTTAAAAGTTAACTTATTTACTAAAAGGTTATTATTTTAGGCTCTTAAAGGGCCACAACTTATCCACACAATAGAATATTATAATTTCTAAAATCACTTTTCTCTCCTATAATTTTTATGTATTTCAACAAAAATATGTATTTTCATCACATGTTTAACAACTTTACAACTTAATCAACTATAACAACATATAATTTTATCAATTATTAACATACAACTTAGGACGACATACATCTTACAACCTAATCAACATCATACTTCAACATTTATCATGTAATTGAATTAATATTTTTCAATTATTAAACAACTTCAAAATGTCACATTTCATCAGTTAACTAATGTCATTCTCTACATGATCGACATTATTGAGATAGGGAGTTTTTTGTCTCGTCTACGTCCGATGCCAATTCACCTATGATTAGCATGGATAAGACAAAAAACTTCTTAGTCTCTCACGCATAGCATGACATAAATCCATGTCCAACCTCGCTTTAGGCAAAGAGCCTATGCATGATTGGCACCCAATGTCACAACACTAGTGTCCGACATTATGTAGATAGAGAATCTTTGTCTTGATTCATATATGTTTTACGCCTTCTCTGTTAGGACCTCACATCACCGAGTTAGAGACATTTCTCTCTCCTCATGTCCAACACCACCAATATTGCATACGACTAGAGTGAGATAGAGAATCTCTGGTTTGAGATATGCTTGGGCCCATGAAGGCACACTCGGCATGATGAGAATTTTCACACTCAACAGAATCTCATTTTTGGCTTAATCCACTCGAAGCTCAACAAAGTCCAACATGCAACCTATGATTCAACAATTATACATCATAAACAACACAAAATCAACTCCATGAGCAACATGCAGCCATTGCATTGCAAGGATTATCAACTTTACATATAAACATCTTAAAACACCCAAAACTCAAGCAACTCAATTCTTCTTCTAAATTTAATCAAAATTAACCAACACATGATGTTTCAACACGACAAACAAGTCATACAACTCAAACACTCATTAATCATAATCCTCCCTTACCTTTAGTTGATCAATCGATAAGAGATGAGGAAGTAGAAAAGAGTTCCATGCAACTCCGATTTGAGATTTTCAACTTTATGAGCTTGAATCTCTGGCTCGGTCAAGTGGATCAACTATAGGAAAGTAAGAAAAAAAGGATTTCAGAATTGAAAATTGGAGAAGATTATTTGAGTTTCGCAAAACTTCACTCCAACTTCTTTTCAAAATTTATTCAAATATGAACTTATGAAATTCACATTTTAAGAAGACTTTGTATATCATTTCTTAAGCTGAACTAACTCAACTCTATTTCAACTATCTCAGGCACCACTTAACTCTCAGGGTCCCCAAACCTCGAAATTTTAAACAACATCAATAACAACACAAAAATATTTTAATCATAAATCACATAATTAAATTAAAACACTTAAAACAATAATATTACATAAACTATTTATCAAAATTTTAAAATATCATTTAGATATTTAAAATATATATTTATATAAATTTTAAATATAATTTATATATTGCTCTTTGGGTTGAGTAACAGTAGCCCAACTCACTGGGGACCAATACCGTGACCTGTCAGATTTTGCCCAGAGCATACGACGACAAGCCTGATCAATTCTATTGCACACTGCCTGAGGAAGCCACAGTGTTTGCATGCTGTAAACTGGAATAGAGGAGATGGTAGACTTCACTAGGCACAGCTTCCCTGCCTTATTAAGGAGCTTGGACTTCCAAGCCGCAAGTCTACCCTAGATCTTATCCATCACATCATAAAAGTCTGCGCACCTAGGCTGACCATGAGTCATGGGAACCCCCAAATACTTCCCGATCTGAGCCGTGTGGCCAATCCCGAGCAAGCCCTCCATAGCTTCGATCCTCCTCTGTGAAACCCTTCTAGAGCTCACAAACTTAGACTTAGTCAAATTAACTCTCAAGCCTGATGATCGCGAAAATTCCTCCAAGGTCGATGCCACCAACCGAGCCTGGTCCTCTGTAGCTTGACAAAATAATAAAATATCATCAGCGAAGAGAAGATATGAAAGCGGTAAACCCCCAGGGGATAACTGGATCGGTTTCCAATGACCCATCTGGAGTAACTCAGAGATCTTGAGGGCTAGACGCTCCATACAGAAAACAAACAAATACGGAGATAATGGATCCCCCTGTCGAAGTCCACGAGACGGAACAAAGGACAGTAGTGTGCTTCCATTCCAAAGAAGTGAGATTGACAAATTCTTCAACCCCCACATGATAAGCTTAGTAGTGACGGTTGGAAAGCCAAATTGCACCAGCGTCGATTCCAAGAAATCCCACTTGACTCTGTCATATGCCTTTTCAAGATCAATTTTTAAGGCCAAAGATCCCATACCTGAACCGTCCTTTCGTACAAAATGTATGGCTTCTTGAGCAATAATACTGTGATCACGAGTCCCCCTCCCGGGGATAAAAAAACAACTATAAACAAGGTTGTCAAACTTGAGAGTTTATGTAAATTTGTGAAGCATCCTTAGACTTGACTTGTAAACTCGTAAGAGTTTACCTAAGGCTGCACTTGCACAGATCCGAAGTTCAGAGAAACCAGTCTAGTTGTTGGATCATTACAGATTTTAAATCACACAACACTGATTGAATATTGTCAGAGCAACCAAGCTTGTCACCAGAGGCTCCCTGATCAGTGGGAGCACTCAGCCTTGATGGAATATTGCTAGGTTGTTTCTGTCAAGATTGTCAGCTAGCTGTAGCAATGGGTTATTGAAGGAATAGGTTGTGGTGCAAATGAGATGCAGTAGTATCATGCTCCGTTTTGAGCATGATTATCTGGTGTGCAGTCAGGGAAGTTAAAAGGAGAGGAAACGTAAGATGAACAAAGTTGTTAATGGAATCTTGGGGGGAAATTTGAAGCACTCAATCAGACTTGTTAAATCATCCTCAGGCTTGTGATTCAATCTAAGTTTGCTGGAGTCCAGCTGAGTTTATCTGAGTTTTATAGGGGTCTGAGTCTGTGAGTGAGTCAGCATGTTCTCCCTACCTGGAAACATAAATATAAACTCCGAAGAGTCTACGAGTCAGCTTCCGAGTTTGAAAACAATGAACATAAGAAATCAAAATATCTTGGTCTAATTCTTTTCTTATGAATCAATCTATAAGTTGAATTTTGATTAGCAAAATAAATCATTGATTATTTTCCTTGTAAAATGCTAAATGCTGCCTAGGTTGATGGCTACCTTCACAGTGAGGAGGAAAAGCACTACAAGAAGATTTTATGGGAAAACCTGAACCGTGAGTATCTTGAGGTACTGAAAATTTAATTCCACTTATTTTTTTTACTTTATATTTTTGGATAAAGTCCTCTGGTGGTTTTTCTGTTTCCTATCATGAGGGTATTGTGTTTTGACCAGGAACAAGCAGCCAAGGAAGCAGCTGCCGAAGCTTCTAAGAAAGCTTTTGAGGCAAATTTCCAAAACTGTTCTGAGGATTTGCTCGCAGCTAGAGAACTTGCTGAATATGCTAGTGCAGCCGCAGCAAAGTCCAGAAAGGTAACTTTTGAATCAATTTTTTGGTGAGGTTCTATTTGTTCATGTGTGTTTATTGCAACTAAAGTGATGCTATTGTATAACGTATGAATTTTTTCTTCATGAAGTCCACTATTATTGAAAACTTGATTTTTCAATTTTCATGAAGTGATGATATATTTTTTCTGGTGAGGTTCTATATGTTCATGAAGTCCACTACTTTTGCCAAACATGAATTTTCGTGAAGTGTTGCTATATTTTTGGTGAGGTTCTATATGTTCATGTGGAGTTTCATTAACATTATGGCAATCATATGATTTATTTTTTGCAAAAACTAAAAAATAGATGTTATGCATGAATATCCAGAAAATAAACTCATCTGGTGAATATGAAACTTAATATCTCATATCTATGTCACATGAGATGTGATCATTAGTCTACTCCAATGCTAGTCTTTGTGAATTATGGGTGTCCTTATTAACAATAATATCCCTTTCCCGCTTGAAGAACAATTGCATGATCATTGTCTCTATGTGGTGGTAAGCCTTGAGCTTCGGTGAATACAATTGGAAATTGAGCTAATAATTGTTGGATCTTCTCATGTTGTTCTT